TGTGCTGGAAAAAAAATCCTACATGGACTGAGGGAATTATCTGAGGTGGCGGTTTCGCCCCCACTTACGCGGCATCCCCCTAGACTACTCCCCTGCCCCTACCTCTGGCCGTTACCGGATAATCATGCTATTTTTACCGGTTGCTCCCGTTGCTGGGCCAATAGAGGCCAAGTCCGCGTTCCCGGTAGGTTGGGATCGTGAGACGTTCACAAGGTTCAGATAGATTTGGCTCCCTTGGGAACGGCATCTGAGGTTGCTCCAGACGGAATGTTCCCTTGAAATTCCTTTATTATTAAATATATATACTCCTGCACATTCTTCAATACGTTCTCAGTTGCTGTGGCAAGAATAATATAAATACCCAGTTCCAACTACGTTCGGGCATCCCATCTGGGCAAGATTTAAAAATGGTTAAAAAACATTAAATAAATTTAAAAAGTAAAAAAAGTTAAAACTTGTGGTCGGGAATCTAAGTCGTCTTCACAAACTGAGGGCATTCTGCATTTAGAATGTGTTTCTAATGGAACTCCCTTTTAAGTCTTTTATGCAATATTCGATTCATCGTGTTCAGAGGAAATTTACGATGATGATGATGATACCTTTGAATATGATTTGTCAAATGATTATCACGTTTAGACAAGTATCATTGAAGCCAAATGATATGTATACCAGATCTTATAAAGTATGTGTGTGTGTATGTGTGTGTGTGTCTGTATTTGTGCATACATATGCAAAAGTTAGAATTGCATCTTAATATTTACTTCTTCTGACTTGTATGAATGTTTCTTTTTACATCGTATGGATAAAATAGATTATTCTGTTTAGTTAACTATTTCATTAGTATTACATTATTGTAATTTGGATTAAAAGGGATTTGTTTTATATGGTTCACTGTATTGTTTCAGCTAATTAATTGTTATCACAGCTGATGATTTGTCTGCAATTAGAAAGAAAAGTTGATAAAAATTCCCAGCATATTTTTTAGAATTTAAAACAGAACTTTATAAAGATAAACAAATGAGCTTTTAAAGAAAATATTTTCTATATATATTTTTTAAAAAATTCTGTTAAGGGTTGACAGAAAACTAACTCAGTTTTTTTTATTGCAAAATGTATATTTATTACAATGGATTTATGATACAACTTAAACACTAACACACTATTAACAAAAACTGTAAGAGCTAGAGTCTTCAATCCTTGTTTGTTTACATATCAAGGGGAGAATAAGGGGATGAATAAAACGTGGATGAACAGAACCTGAATGGATGAGGATGGGGACAGCCAAATTGTGTGTTCCAGATCGCGGTTATTGTCCACCTCAGCACGTCTGACAAGCAGTCATACTCCTGATGGGAATTGCGGGAATATTATTAAAAGGCGCCAAAATCCACGCAATCTGTGCTGTTCCACTTTGGGTCGCTTTGGCACTGCCAAGTGTCGTCTCGTGAGAGGTCGAAGCTCAGACACGTCTCATAGGCCGTGCCAAGTCGGCTTCTATCGGTGTTGCGTGCCAAAGTGGGTGTACTCTGAAAATCCTGGACTACGAAATAATAATAATGTATATGTGAATAACATTAAATTCTCTAAGTTTTATTATAAATGACTATAGCGAATTCAGTCTAAAATAGTTGGATAACCTATGTATTTAATAGCAACTGATACTAATAACCTAATTATTGTCTCAATAACAAATAGTTTTATTGTTATAGCATGCTCATAATGCTCAACTGATTTTTATTTTTTTAAATTATTCTTTTCTTTCTTTATACTAGAAAATCGGATAAGATTTTTGTAGTAAATGTCCATAACTACTTCAAGTTTTACAAAAGCTGAATTACATCTCAAGTTCTATAAATTCAGTATTTATTAATTTGTTTATTTATTTGGACAATTATAAATCACTTATTTCACTTCATTTAAAACTTGAATCTCTATTTATTTTTTGATATTTTATTCGCCATTCTTTTAGACTATGTCTAAATTACAAGCTATTTAAGAGTAACAAAATTAATACCTGAATCTAATATTTCAATAGTGCATTGAGTTTTTCTTGTGCGTCTACCAATTACTTTTAAATTCGACTGGGGTTTTATTCAATTTTAGGAAAATAAAATTTGAAGTTATTAAGGTAATCATCTGTGAGATCATTCAATGGGTTAGTACCAACAAACCATGTTGCTTTTAATATTCATATAATGCATTGAAGCAAACATAGCAATAATCAAATATTAGCTCTATTTTAGTCTTTTAATGCTGTTTTAGAAATAAATAAAATAAAATAGTGTCTTCAAGTATACATTTTATTATTCCTTTTTAATTATTTTTTTCTGATTTTGATTTCCAGATTATAAATACTTGTGAGAAAATAAAATAATAAAATAAAATAAATCATTAAAATATTAAAAGTTGAACTAAAAAATGAAAATCAAAATAAGTAAATACTTTATCCCACGACTGTTTAATATGCTTAGTATTTTAAAAGTAAATTGAAAACATTAAGAAATACAGAAAAAATAAAAAATAAAAAAAATCATATACATCTGAAACTATACAAGATAAAAAATAAAAATAATTGAAAAAATTCACTGAAAAAAGGAATCAAAGATGCAAATAAAATATTGATTTGTTTGCACAATATGTGGAATTGTAGACAAACCGTTACTTCTTCCCTGATTCATTCAAGCAATTCCCTTAATTTCCTCAACTTTTTCTAACTTTGCACTTTCTGTTATAGTGGATATTTGACTATTGGACATCCCTGATTCCAAGTGTTTGTAGGAAACTATCAAAACGAATATATGTTTTAAAACTTTACCATTTTAAACTATTCATATTACATTTCTCCACGCTCTTGAAACAACTATTAATCCTTCTACCCCCAATTCGGATAAGACTTGGTTTTCCAAATATTGTTAGAATACTAATAATAACAATTAGATAAATGAAAGATAAAGAAATAAATATTATAAATTACATGAGGAGTACATCACTTCGACTTGAATGACTTTCAACTAGTTTTATTTTACCATGATTAAAAAAATAAAAATAAAAATTACTGTTGCATTGCTGTCAAGTAAGAGAAATTAAAACCAAACTCTTTGATATTATTGAAGTAATCCTTGTGGCAGGGAGTCACATTTTCACCTTTAAATTATAAAATCCTATACATATTACAAGATGAAAGCTTTTTGATCCATCAATTCTAATAAAAAAAATATTATACCTCTATTTTTATTGTCCTTTTTGAAATTCCTCATTGTCAAATATAACATATAATCAATCCAACCAATATTTCAACAGGAGGTTTCAAACATGGCACTTTCAAAAAACCAAATAATTGGGATATCAAAAACCAATAAGGCCATGTTTAAAACCCCCCAATAGTACAACTGTATACCGATGCACAACCCATTTGTTTTGGATTGGAGCAATAAAGGACGTAGACTAGGCTTTTATTGAGACAATTTCTATTCATCCCAAACAAGTCCAATCCTACCCATTTTTGCCTCGATTTAGATATCCATGTTGCCCTTTCTCTTGAATCAAGGCCTGCTTTGCACTGCTAGGCTAAATTTCAACATTCTTTTTTAAATGCATGTCCTTACCCACATGCAAAAAATAAGAGCAAGATGAGCAGTGACAAAGGTGACTGGCAAGGGGGGGGGGGGGATTGAGAAGAAGCCACTCAAGGGAGAAATCCGATCCATTGTGATCGGCCACGAGGCGCAAGTGAGGAGCACTGCACTGGCCCTGCAAATGGCGGCATGACGGAATTGGATGAATTTGCATCTGCTGCAGTGACAGGACGATGGCGGTATTGCGCGGCTGGAAAAAAAACCGTCGCAAGTTTCTAGCAACATCACGATGACAGCGAAATAGAGATCTCCGTGTCCGTCGCACCGAAGCTGCCCGTCTACTGGTGCCAAAGCTCCACTACGGAAGTGATTCCGGACGCCAGCAGCTGAATTCAATGCTGTGAATCCCATGGAAGCGGCTATTTGCAACCGGGAATAAAATAACACAAGATTATATTGAACTGATCGGACCTGAACAGGTCTACACGTATATAGGCAGAGTAACGGGGTTGACCCTGAGATAGATGGATGAACGTTTTTCTCCTACAAGAGTTTATGCCAACACGCCTTATTACTTTGGAACAGTGGAACGAGAACTAAAGAAAAACCCTAGCAGCAATTTGGCTAATCCTAATATAAGCTGTAGACTGAGCTATGGAAGTTCATTTGTTTATAGTTATACTTATGTCGTTGTTACTGATGATTGAGAAGCCAGTGGTGATTACGATAATAGTAGAAGAGCGTTGGTTCTAGATCGCTTTGTTGGTTTCCTTGTCGTGTTGGTTTCGCGGAAGAGGAGGTGTGTCTCCTTGTCTTGAATGTCGTGCGGTACAAACTGAAGAGACATCTAGTGTCTGCAATTTAAGCTGCACAGTGTTTTCGCCGTTTGAGAATGAATTTGCATAGGATGTACGTGTGAGTTCTAGTTTGCTTGTTCGGGACGTTGATTCCGAGATTCAGGATTCGGCTGAAGTTAAGAACATTATAGCTAGAAAAATTCAAAAATAAAATTTAGCAATGGAAATTGAGAAAGAATTGGATAGTTTCGTTGCAGAAGAAGAAGTCCTTCAAAGTGCATTGGAAGAAATCGAGAAAGGGGTTCTCGTTTTATGTTCCGTGTTAAAGGAGCAGTTGGATAGTGTGATCATTCCTCGATTGATCAAAAATCTGGATTGTTTAGATGATGTTTACAAATTGCAGAATAACTTGAGAAAGGTATGTTTGCTGTGGAAGGATTTTATATTAGAGCAAGAGCAGTGGCTATATAATCAAAGAAGTTACGTTGATCGGTTGGCTGCCATTTGTACTGAAGATGTGTGTTGTTAACTGATTTCTATCATCGAGCTGGATTGTTTCTTAATAGTCAAATGAGTTGTGGCTGACTTAACTATGTCATGATAGTCGCATAATTGTAATCTTTGTTTGAATTTTTGAAATATAGATTTTCCTAAAGATTTGGTGATAAAATTTCCATTTTGTTCTGTGGATGGAACAAACTACAGGTATATATTGCCACTTGTGATTTTTTCACAAGTAAAATGATAATGTGGAGTGCTGTATTTTCTACATTGATTTATATTTGGCTTCATTGTCACAATGAATGATGACAGGTCGATTTATTTTGAGACCAAGATTGTTGATTAATTTCTATAGCCAAGTTGTTGTAATGTTGTCGTGATGTAACATGATAGAGAGAAGAAACGAATGATAGAGAGAAGAAAAATTTATTATAAAAGATCTTATTTTAAACTATAGTACCAAACTATTTTAGAAATATAAATAATAGTAAAAAAGATAGTAAAACTAAAAGGTGCTAATATTGCTCTTTTACAAAATAGGCTTCTACTTACTTTGTAGGGCCATAAATAAGGCAAAATAAAGTAGATTGAGAAATTAAAGAATATAAACATGCATAAGAGGGAATTAAGAGTAGATTTTAGCAAAATTTACCTAAAGAAGTCAAGAATACTCGGAGAAGATTGTTAGTCAACTTGGGACGAAATCAAACCGTGAGACACAAAACCACACATTTACAAAGATTCCAAAGTTCTTTGGTAGATCGAAGAATAGGATTTGAGAGCAGACTTGAGAAGAGATTTTTGGATCCTAGTTTTATATGAATTGAGTCAATATTGAGATTTTGAGGGATTTTTAAAGTTAGTGATGTTCTCGGTTAGTTTAGATTTTGAAAAATAAAAATATATTTACAAATTTGAGGATTTCTTAAATTTTGTGGTTTGTATATAGGTGAATTTTAGGCAATGTGTTGTTGTACCAGTTATTAATGTGTGTGCAAATTTTGAAGTCAATTGAACAGTTAGATCAAAGTGTATAAATGTTTTTGTAGGTCAAAGTCTCAAAAATTAGAGTTTGAAGATAAGTGAGTATTTCTAAGTTCTTCAGCAATCTATCAATTGGATTGAAGTGAGTTTTTTTTATTTGAATATTAGATTCAATTTCTAACATTTTAAGTAAATTTTGGGAATAATTCAACGGTTCAAAAATGACATATTGATGTTGGAAGTTTAGAATTTAGATGGAAGTAGAAGGCCACTTAATACTTGATTAGATTATCTTATATTTTTTTTAATTAGTAAGTGCGATTGATTTCATCTTTCTTGTGCTTATTTTTAATTAAGATATTAAAAAGTTTATAAAATTTGAATTGATATTAACGGTTCAATCATTAATTGTTAAGGTTCCAATTTGCTATAAGATTTGGTTTAGGATTTGTCTACAAATTGGTTAGGATTAGGGTTTGCTTGGGATTTGATTTTGAACTTGAGTAGGAATTGAATAGGATTTGTTTAGGATTTAGGATTTATTTAGGATTTCATTAGGATTTGACTTAAGATTTGATTAAGGTTCAATTAAAATTTTAATTAGGATTATATTAATATTTCTATTTTTAGTATTGAAAAAGATTTTTTATTATTTTTTAAAAATATTTATATTTCTAATTTTTCTTTGATATTATTTTTATTTCTTTAAATTTTTATTTTTATATTTCTTTAAGATTTCTTATTATTTTTTTTAGAATTAAGTTGGAACTTCTTTGTGTTTCTTTTATAAATTCTTTTAAATTTATTTTGGATTGGTCAAAGTTTGATGAATATCATTAAGGTCTACTTAAGGTTATTTAAGATTCTATTAGAATTAGTAGGATTGTTCTTATATTTCTACTTACCTTCCACAACTAGGTGCTAAATACATTCTCAAGCAAGAACATATATAATATGACAATGCCTATATGATATAGCCACAAATTTCTTTGTATAGCAAGAGCTAGTAGTAGTTAGACTATTTTTTATTTAATAGCAAGTGTAAATATATCTTCATGATTTAATTTAATGAGTGTCTATATAGCATTCTTACAAATTGAGGATATTTCATTGTGCATGGCTTTAGCCTAATTGGATTGTATGATTGTTTCTTAGAAATTTGTTGATTTTATAGGTAACTTGCATAGACCAATAAAGTACTTCTAAAGCCATATGGGCAGATGGCATGGAATCTTCTTATGATCCATAGTCTATTGTGTGAGCAAAGATTCTTTAGAATGAATAGTTGCTTTAAGTTGCTTTGGTGGTAAAACATTATTGTTAAAATTGATCAAAGATGGCCATAAATCAAGGTTTTTGATGGAAGTTTGACAAAAAATAAGATTTAGAGAATTAGTGGCTTTTAGTGTAAGCAGCTCATTATGAAGTAAGTTAATGGAAGTGTCTACCAAGCATGATAGAAGATTCAATGTTAAGACACTAGAATATAGAGATTGGCTATGCGGTGATTGTTGTAAAAGGAAATTTGATAACAGTGGCATTTGTAGTGAATTATTTAGATTACTATTTAATGATAAAATAAAAAAATAAAATGTAAAAATTGTTGTCTTAAAGAAGATAATTTTTTTTCTTTAGTATATTTAAAAAATGATTCTCATCAAATACAACAATATAAGTAATTATGACTTGTTGTAAGATTGGAATCTATATTCAATAAGCTTTTGATTCAAAATTAATGTCAATGTATATGCCCATAATAGATTACAAGGCTAATTTGATAGTATTGCTTTGATGAACATGAGTAATACACCTAAAAACATAAAGGCGGGCTAATTTTGGTTTAATGTTATTGACTTATATATTTATTTAAGTATTTAATTATATGATAAAGTAGACATAGATAAATATAAATTAATTTTATAATATCTTTTGGAATATTTTTTTAAAAGCTTCATAGATGCGGTTTTGACTTTATACATTTTTGTAGTTAATTGGTATCTTAGAAACTTGGTTAACAAGTGGATCACATGTCAAATATATTGGTGGTTTGTAGAACAAGCTAATTATGTGGCACACCTATAGAAAAATTTTTCTTGCAAATTAAGATGTATCTCGCAAAGTCAACATATGTTGGATCTTGTAGAACATTGGTACATAACTTCTAGTTAGATAGTATATATAGAAGCAAAAGTAAAGCCTTCTTTAATCTTGTCAATGCCATTCTAGTCCTTAGTCTTATTTCAAGACTTTTTAGTCTTTTTGTCTTTGGCAATAGCCATTGTAGTTGAATACATTACCATCTTTGAGTTAATTTTTAATCTTTTTAAGTGACACAAGAATGTATTGATACTTTCTTTCTTTGAAATTCGTAAAAATATTAACTTATTGTTCTTGTCTTGTTCTTGAAATATGTGAATTATCTTACTTCTATTGTTTTATTTGAAGGTCGTCGATTACCTACTTTTAAACAAATAATTTAGTTTTTTAACATTGATTTTTTCCTTAAAAAAAGTAGATTATCTCTCTTTGTGGAAATTTTCATTTGATATTAGAGATTACAGATTATCTTCTTTTAATTTAATTTTTGAATTTATTTGAGTTATTTATAAAAAAAATAATTATAGATGCTACTCTTAGTGGAGGTGAGAATAGATTTGCAACTATTGTAGATCTTCACAAGCTTATCAACATTCTTAAGATAAAAATCTCATATATTTTTAATGTGAATCATAGAGATACTATTCCTATGTCAATGGAAGAAATTAATAATGAAGTTCAAAGTTTATTCCAAAAAGTTGTGCAATTAAGAAAAACAAATAGATTAAGTTTAGAATTAAATTTGAGAATTTTTATTTTTATTAGTATTAAAGAGATAAGGATAAATATGCCAAAGAAGTTTGATAGAACAAGATCAAAATTTTGAAGGTTTTTACAACCAATAAATTTCTATTTAAGATTGCATCCTTCTCAATAACTAGATAGATTTATTCAAGTTGGATTCACAAGAGTACTTCTCTTTGAAAGCACTCTTTTTTTGTTTGTATCTTTAATGGAAAAAGATTCAAGATTATTCTATAATTTGAATTCATTTTTAGAAGTAATTATAGCTATGTTTAGAGAAAGTGATTG